CACTGCAGCCGCCGCTGCCGTCGCTGCACAGCACCGGATGGCCCCGGGGAGCGCCCCGGCGGCGCCGCGGGGCATGCTAGGACTGGCGCTGGGTGCCATGAAACCCGGCGGGGCAAGAGGCAGCGGAATTGGCGGCGGCGGCGCCGCTGCCGCCGCTTCCCCATCCATTTCTTCGGATGCCGCCGCCGAGGCTGCCGTCACCAGTGGCGCGGCGGATGGCGGGAAGGCGGATCGTGCCGCTGACGCCAGCGCGGTTCGTGACAGCAGCGGCGGCAGCAGTAGCCCTGGCGGTGGTGACGGCGCTAGTGCAGGCGGCGGCTGTACAGCAGACGTACGAGCATCATCCGCTGCGCCGAGAAGAGTCGGTGACGTGACGGCGCCGCCGCCGCGGCCAGGCACCTCATCCTCAGCGGCGGCATCGGCGCCATCGCCGCCGATGCCGCCAGCCGCCGCCGCCGCCGTTGGCAAGTCCCACACCGCCGCCGCCGTCGGCAGTGCAGCGACAAGTGCATCCAGCCAAGCACTTACTGTCGTACATCCCAACCATCATCATCACCACCACCATCAACAACACCCGTACCACTATCATCACCGTCACGCTTCCATGCCGTACAATGGAATCCCCGGCAGCAGCCCGCCGTCGAGTCGGCCGCTGCCGCTGCCCGTACCCCACGGAGGGGGCAGTCCGCAGCTTCCCTTCGCCTTCACCCCTTCCGTACAGTCCTTGATGTCATTGGCCTCCCTCCACCAGGTGCGTGAGTGAGCCGGCTTAGTACGAATGTACGAATGAATGGATGGATGCGGCTGGGCCCCGGGGCGGGGCGGGGCGGGGCGGGGCGGGGCATGTCGTACCTGACGTCCACACAGTAACGCCAACTGCTGAGTCATCAACCTTGCCTTTTGCCGTACAGGCCATGGTCCCTCTGGGCTATTTCGCTGGCCATGTGGCCCCCCCCGGTGCCGGGGGGGTGGGTGGTGGCGGGGGGGGGGTTGTGGGCCCCGCCCGGGGTGTTAGCGGTCGCGACATCACGTACCTGGCCACCATCCGGCGCCCCTCCTGGAGCTCCCGGAGCGGGTCCCTGGACCCCTCCCTGGCCAGTGCTGGAGCGGCGGGTAAGGGAGTGCGGGTGGAGGGAGTGAGCGGGGGGGGGGTGAGGGGTTGCGCGGGGGCCGGGGGGGCCGGGGGGGGCCGGGAGGAGGAGGAGTGTGTAGATCGACACGGCACGCAAGGGCGCTTCAGAAAACCATGGCGGCTCATTAGTTTCATGGCTCAATGTACGACGTGTGTATCGTCGAGTTTTCCTCTGGTGCTGACCTTCCGACCGCATATGAGGATTTGCCGTGTTTGTCAGCTCGCAGGTACGACAAGAAAGCGCGTTAAAGAAAATTTACTTAAGACTCTGTCGTAGTGTGTCGTAGTTACAGCGGGCTGTCGTAATATGCTTCCTTGCCGTACCTGAGACGCACGGAAATCCGTCGTACCGTCGTACTAACCACCCAACTTACTACCCAACCTCCCAACTAACCTTCGCAGGTCCGTTGATGGCCAGCCTCTCCCCTCTACGCGACCTTTTGGAGTCGTCGTACTCCAACCCCTCCACCCCGGGGGGGCCCCGCATGCGGCCGGATTCCGCCGACCAGCCCCGTCGTACCTCCCAGCGGCACCGCGACCCCTCCTCCTCCTCCACTTCCGCCATATTCAGCCTCAGTCCCTCTAGCTCTGCCGTACCGGGGACCTCACCAGCCGTACATCTCCATCACCTACATCACCAGCACCAGCGCAGAGGAGCGGCGGCCAGGGCTGCCGCCACGACGGCGGCGGCAGCGGAGGGCAGTGGCGCTGGCGGCGGCGGCGGCGGCGAGGGTACCGGACTTGCGGCTGACAGTACGGACTCGGCGGCGGCGGCGGCGGCAGCGATGCGGGCAGGCCCGGGCGCCGCTGCGGATTCCGCCACCACCGGTGCTGCTGGCGACCGCGGCGCAGCAAGAGGGATGGGTAACGGCTCCGCCGCCGCCGCCGCTGTTGCTGCGGAAAACATGGACGTCGCCGAGCCCACGGAAGACGTCGTTCCGTACGACCTGTACGGCACGTACGGCGACCCTGACGTCGACGCCAGGACGTGTCCGCTTATCCGTGAGGACAGCGAATCAGATTTGCTGCCGTTTGCTCTGGACCAGGAGGGGCTGGTGCTCGGTCCCGGGGCCGCGGGAGGAGGAGGCCCCGCCGCCGCGATGCTGACGGCGGCGGCGGCGGCGGCGGGGGCACGTGCCACCGCGCCGACGGGGGGTCGCCCCCGGGTTGCGGGCCACCCTGCCGCGGGACCCATTGAACTGACCCTCAGTAAGCGAGCCGGGGTTCTGGCGACTCGCTGCTGCATGTGTACGGACATGTACGGAACCGTAGATTCCACGGCGGGGATGTTGGATTGCTGCATATGTCTACGGCATGGCACTACAGCACGGTGTTTTGAATACATACATATATACACGTACACATCATGCGCCAGTCACCTACACACGAACTCACATGGACCCTCCCTCCCCCCCTGCACTTGCACTTGCACTTGCACACACACATACACATACACAGGTATCGCACAGGCACGCGAACGGGATGTCGCAGTCGGGGCCTTCGTTCGCATGATGGCGGATGCGGCGCCCCTGGCGGCGGCCCCCGAGCACCCGGCCGTACGGGAGTATAGCCCGCGGGAGGCCCTCCTGGAGCTCCAGCAGCTGGGGAACCGCATCCAGGCGGCGCTGGAGGCGGCGGCGCCGCAGCTCCAGATGGCGGCGGCGGCGGCAGCGGCAGCGGCGCCGCCGCCGGCGCCGCAGCCGCCGCAGTCGTACTGGGGGCTTGCACCTCCGGGCGGCGCGGGGCCGGTGCTACAGCCTCGGGGTCTATACAACCCTGCTGGACTGGACCTGGCGGCTGTAGCAACAGCTGGTCCGCAGTTGCAGCTACAGCAGCAGCCCCCGCCGCCGCAGCAGCAGCCGCAGCAGCAGCCGGGGCCGCATCTCTCTTCCTTTTGCACACGGTGGTCATGATGATGATGCTGACGTTGGTGGTGGCTATATCGGTGACGTGTGTGTGTATGTCTGATGTCGCCGTGGGTGCGCTCTCCTGTCCCCCTTTTACACCCCCGGGCGCAGCCTGGTGTGCGTGTGTATGTATGACGGGGGGGTGTATTTCGGGTGTCGTGCGGTATGTTTGCCCGTCAAGGTGTAATAGTTAAGGTGGCAGGTGGCGCTGGGGGGAAAAGGGGAGGGGGCCGAAACATGTGTTTTTTCTGATGTACGCACGGTGTCAAAAGGCCGGTCGTGGCTGGCCGCCGCACATCCCCCACATCCCCCACATCCCCCACATCACACATCACATCATCCCGCTCCGCAGTGCAGCTTCGCTGCGAGTTGGTGTCGCCGCATTAGGAGTCATGACAGGACGAGGAGGCTGCTAGGGGCATCAGTCCGCCTTCCTCTGGTAATGGAGACGCCACACTGTACGGCACTGTACGGCAGGCACCGCCCAAGGTGTCGCACCCCTCTACCCCTGGCTCCCCAATCGCCCCCACCCCCCGCCCCCCGCACAGGGGTAGAGAGAGAGCTGCCCTCAGCAGCCGCCTTTCCACACACCCTGCGGACAGCGACAGCGTGTCATCGACCCTGTGGGTGTATGTTTGTATGTATGTATGTGTTACACCACCTTCTAACAGACATGCTAACCGACATTTTACGCGGTGTTTGATGGGAAGAGAAATATCGGTTCATAGATTTGTTGAATGGATACCTGGAAGTGTAAAATATTATCATGGGATGTTATATTGTCGTTATGTCTGCATGTATGTATGTACGTATGTATTTGTGTGGGTGGTTACATCTCTGTCTCGCTAGGGAAGGGAGGGAAAGGAGGAGGCGGTTGCGGGGGAGCGCGGCGGGGAAGGTGAGGGTGGGTGAGGGCCAGGGAGTCGCGGGGGGCTCCGTCGCTGTCTACAGTTGTTGTTGTTATCGCTGTCATCATCGCGTCATTGCTGCCACCCCCAGAGTTAGTGGGGGCACGCATATCTCGAAGTGGAGGGGAGGAGGGGCTCCTGGTCCCCATGTGTATGTGGGAGGGGGCCACACGGCGCCTGGCGCGTAACGTACGACATACGTACAGGCCCCTAGGCCAGCATTTATAAAGGGAGCTTTGGGTGGGTGGTGGTGGGGTGGTGTCAGGGCGGGAGGTGGAGTGAGGCGGTGCGGGTGTGTGTGGATGGGGGGGTGCTTTAGGACGTCCGGGCGGAGTGCCCCCTCCCCCCACCCCCACCCCGTGTGTATCATTATTATATCCCCCATGTTGTCTTTCCTCTCCTGCCGCAATATGTATGTATGTATGTATGTATGTATGTATGTATGTATGTATGTATGTATGTATGTATGTATGTATTCCCTGTAAATATTTTGGCGACACGACGGAGGAGAGACAGGGTGAAAGACATTGTTCCCAAGGGATACAGTTTTGCATGTCGTACGACAGTCAGGTGCACTATATAACATGTCGGTTATTGGGTTTGGGGTTTGTTTTCGCGGAAAAGATTCTCAACTATTCGTAATTTTCGTTCATTGATTCGTTTGGTTAGTTCTTGGTTGGTTGCTTGTTTCTTGGTTGGTTGCTTGTTTGCTTTTATACCGTTCCCCGCGCTGCGGGAAGCTGAAAAGCTCGTTTCCGTTCGCTCCCTATTCCCCCGAGTGTGCTCTGGAGGGCCCCGAGGGTGGCGGGGGGCCCGAGGGTGGAGGGTGGCGGGGGGGAAACTATGCGCCATGTGTATGTGCGTGTGTGTATGCGTTCCTCACCTTTTCCCCTCCGCTACCTTAATCCCACTTTCCCTGGGTGTTACATTATATGACACCAGCACAGCGCCGGAACCCCGGCGGAACCCCGGGGGGGGCGGGCGCGACCGACTGCCGGGTCGGCTAACCTCCAAAGACCACGCTCCTAAGCGAAACCGCAGCAATGGCAAGTGTGACTTCGCAGGGGTGTAGCACGTCGTGTGTTTTGGCGTTCCCATCCAATAGGTATGCCGGCACGTCTTAACCCTTGGTTTACTGTTGCCCGACACAAGCTCCCGGGGGGGGTGTTGATAAGACGTGGGCTATGCCAGCCATCATCAAATCGCTTTTTGAAAGCTTTTTCCATGACTGATCTAACATTTATCGGGTTCGACGAAATGAAATTGACTTTAAACTCTTCATCTCGGTCCGGGTGCAGCGCCGGGCAATGCCCTAAGCACCGGAGACCCCTTAGGATCATGACACCCCAGTTGGTGGCAGCACAATCAGAACGCGCTGCATGACGTTTCTCCTCACGCAAAACACTGTGAAACACAATCCCCTTCGCAAGGGGATAACCCTGTTGCAAAAACGGTAACTAAGTGAGGCCCAGTGAAAGTGGAGGGGCCATTTACCAAGCCTCCTAAACAACACATGATATTCCGGTATCCTCTCTAACCCAGAGGGAAGCTTCAGAAACGTGCGTTGCAGCTCGACCATGCGATTTTCTCTGAGACCTTTCGAAGCAGCAGGGCCGCCTATGCATGCCTTCGCCCATCAGGTGGTCGTTCAACGACCTGGAGAATAAAATGCTGTCCCCACACCTGGACCTCATACGACAGAATGGATATAATTTGCATATCAAAACAATTGAACACTATCTTATGCAGAAGCAATTCCTTCCTGCGCAAGTTTGGGTTCCGTGGCGGCATTGTCCTAATCAGTAGCTGAGGAATGGACATACATATGCATAGCTGTTGTGGGAAGTTCATGAAAACAGATTAATCTTACATGACAGAAATGGATAGAATATATGACGCGCCTTATGACGATCTAAGCACACGCAATTCGGCTTCCAAGTTTCCGTACAACTGCTACAGAAGCCATGGAAACCTGTCTCCTGATACGTCCATGCCCAATGTAAGTCCATTCCTAGCTATGATTGAATTTTTTTATTGTGAGTAACGTGCATTTACTCTCAGTTGCCCTCGACATAGTCCGTGTGGCCCACACATCAGAAGGAGTGGAAGCCGCTACTGGCACCATTCCTCGCCATACACGCATTCCGAAAGCATTTATTTCTAGCATGTCACAATAGACTTAGGTCGTCCTTTCAAGACCCAGCTATTGTTTTCCGTTGGACATTCTCAAAAACCTATCTCACCCAAGCGGACGGCGAAGGGAGACGCGGCAAGTGCTTTAGCCTCAATGCAACATAAAATTAAAGGTGAGGAATTAGTTGCGTAAAACAGGGACTGCAGCGGCTTAACGTGACGCCAATCAGTGTTCTTCCTTCAAAACCGTTTCAGTGGTTGGTCTGATAGGCAAAATCCGCCGCGAGGCAGCATGCAAGCAGGTACCAGAAGGACATATTCGTTTATTTATAAATTCTCTCGTGTGTTATTTTCCTTGTAGGTTTCCTCAACCATCGTCCGGTGACTGTCGCTCTTACGGTGGCGCTTTTCGCGCGAGTGGCCATCGCTTTGGAGCCCCATGTGACCCTGACATCCGACGATGGGACCCAGTACTTGTTATATCGCACCGGTGCTCCCATCACTGCCGCTGCAGCTTCCGACAAATGTGCGAGCGCCGGCGGCACCCTCGCATCCCTCGCATCTGCTGAACAGGTCGCTGCCACACTTTGGTCGCAGCCCGTGGTCGACGCTGCAGCTGAGGAAACTGTATTAATGTGGACTGGTCTGAAACTCACTTGGCCTAACAAGGCCGCCGCCCATCGCCGCATGCTGCGCGGAACAATCAACAGTGGCAGCGACGGCTTCCTTGCTAATCTCTTCACCTCCAGCAATTCCGTCGTCTATGAAGATGGTAACGAAGATGACAGCGAAGACGAAGGCGTAGCTCTGGTCGAGCGACTCCTCAGCCAGATGGACGCGACTACCGATTTCCTTGTCCCGACTCACCTTCCGGGCGGCCAACGCCGCCTACCGGAGCTTATTCGCCTCTGGCTATTTCAACAGCAGCACCAAGAACAGCAGCATCAACAAGAAAAATCAGGAACCCAGATTGCCCGGCATCGTCATCTCCTGGCCAGTCCTGATGGTGGCTCTCCATTTCTTGAAGGTGCCGAATTAACCTGGGACGACGGCAGTGACGCAGACTTTGTACTTTCGAACACGGCCAATATGGGCTTTCTGGCCTGCAATCGGAAAAAAATGGCCGCCTGCTGCGGCGCCGTGTTCGACATCGGCCCCCATCCGTACCCGGGATCCGATTTCCCCACCATTTTCTTCTATCCCTGCGGGGCGGAGAAGGTCAGCGGTGTCACGCAGCCCTCGGGCTTTATGTGCCGGACGGGGAAGGCCGCCGTGGTGGCGGAGCTGCCGCGGCCTACTACGTCATCGTTACCCAAAGCGCCGTACATACCGCCTCCGACAGGTAGGTGAGGTAGCGACTCCTCTTTGGACTTGTCGCGCGTTCCAACTCCATCACCCACAGCAGCACCCCACCTCCCCTCGAGAGGTGGAATTGGAAAGCTCTACCAGGAAACAACCTTTTCCCTCTCTGCTCCGACGCGTTATTGTTGTTGTTATTGTTATTGTTGTTGCTTGTCTGTGTGACCAGCCGGCTCTCGGGGCCCACCGAAGAGACCGCCAGTGGGGGTGTGTTGGCCGCGTAAGGAGAAGGGGGATTAGATTGCTGTGGATTACGGAGGGGGTACCACGTGATCGTGGGGGTGAGGGCCCCTCTGGGAGGGGTTCCCCCCCGGGATGGGGGGAATGGGGCTCTGGGGTGATCTCGTGACATCCAACTTCCTGTCGTACCATTGAAACCCTACTTCCCCACGCACCATTACCTTTTCCTGAGCTCCCGCATTCACTCTTCCCTCGACCCGACCCGATCCCGCTTCCCGCTTTCCGCCACGTGCACCTCTTATGCCCCCCTGCCCTGATGCACACACACACACGCACACGCACATACATACGCACATACACACACGCGCGCAGCTGCGCCAGCCCATAAATGTCTCCCGGGCAGTGCGCCCTCCTCGAGGGCTAGCACCGCGCACCCCTGCGCCCAGTGCAAGCCGAACACCTACAGCAACGACGGCACCCAGTGCAAGAAGTGCCCGCGGGGATCCACGTCTACTCGGGGCGCGTCTGGGTGCAAGTAGGCGGCTCTGGCGGGTCGACGTTGAGGACCTGGAAGGCAGTGAAGACCGCCCCGGTCTCCGGGCCCGTTCTGTCTCACCTTCCTGCCGCGCGGGGTGACGCTCCGCGGCACTATGTGGGTTAGGCTATTTGGGTTTTTTGTCTTTTTTGTGGACGAAGTTGGAAATGTGAACCTGTGGATGCTTGTTGAAGTGGAGTACGCGAAGCCGCGATGATTATCGGGTGCCTTAGAAAAAACTAAAAACTAGTTCCATCCGTGGGCGACCTGGTATTGATGATTTTTCAACCACCTGGCTTGCTGACTATCGGATGTTTAGCGATGCAACTGTTCATCCTCACAAATCATGGACAGTTTCTAGCACGGGCAGGGCAGGAGCGCCCGATGGGCTGGAGTCAGGACGGGTGCCGCCCGCAAGGTGCGCCGTTTACCCGCGTTCACACCTGCTACCCGGGCGCTGTACCGCCACTGCCCTTTTATAGCCCCCATAGATTGTGTGAAGGCTTTTTAGGGAAGTAGTAAAGCTCGTAGACAATTTTGTTCTTATTAAACAGTTAGCGGTAATCACTGCCCTCAGTTTCTAAGAGGTAGGGTTTTATTTAGGCTTTGGGGCTTTGGGGCTTTGTTTCCTGGTGCTGTGTCTCTGGCACCTGGCTGGCTTCTGGAGGATGCCCTAAAGATTTACTGCGCTGCGGTAGATGCGCTAGATTGTATTTTGTCGATTTGTTCAATTTTCCTTGTTACTCAAGTAGCCTATCATTAAAAGACGACGGACGTACATGTGCGTGAATTCAAAAGTTTAGTCACGTTACTAGTTTGATAGTTGCGGCTTGAGCGATGCACAGCGATTTCCTCGTTGCCACGTGTGTGCCCTGGTCTTGAAGCGCGGCGACTAGAGAACGAGAGCACTGGAACGTCGCACCGCCTGTGTTCTGCTATCTACAGGACAAGATTAAGAGAGCGGTTCGGTGATGGTGATGTTAAGATTAACTTTTTAAATGTAGGTTGGGCGCGGGCGGCACCGCACCCAGTATCGCCACCTCTCGGCGACCTGAGCTTCACCTATAGCAGGATGCAGCGTATCGATGTAACCTCCCCCCCATAAACCTCTCCTTGCCTTGCCTTGTACGTTTGGACGTTGCCGTAGTACTGCCTGTACTAATCCAGGGGAGTCGTGATACAATCAACGAACCACATACATGTGTGAAGCGATTAGCGATGCGGTCCTCTGGTGGCTTTGTTTAGCGGCGTGAGTGTCCGTCTTCAGCGCGCACATTCTTCCCCCGGGGGGGGTGCCAGAGAGAAAGCAAAGGTCGAAGCTGTTTATGTGGGTCTGGAAGGAACACTTTGCGGCTCCACCTCGCTGCTGCTTTGCTTAGAACTTGATTACGGTTGTGCAATTAAAAAAACAGTAGTGGTAAAACAAATCTAATGTTAATATTCTTACAAACTTTCACATTCTCGTTCACAGTCGCAGCCACTCAAGGGCTCCCACCAATTTTAGTGGCCAAACGAAAACGTCGCACTCATTCCTCTCCAGCGATAACTAAATCTAACAGTACGACTTTGATGTACGTCGCGCATGATAAACCCCAAGGAATTAAAACCCTTTCATAATTTTACATGTGACGGGTTGCAAGGGCTCAACAACAGGACCAACTCGCTGCGGGACTTTAGAGAAATAAACTTCGTCCATTACCCGTACGGTACTGTACGGTACTCGTGGGGTTGTGTGGAATTATGTAGAGACCCAGCCAGGGGGCAATCTGCCCCTCCTCTGCCGGGCTGAAGTGGGGAGGAGGTGGGGTGGGGAAGGAGTTAGAAACAACACAACGCACCACATACATACATACATACATACATGCATGTATACATGCGCCAGCAACACCATATCATCATCACCGTTACCAGTGCCATTACTATAATACAATGGCAGTTATTAACATTATTGTCAACACCATCACCGTCATCACCGTCATCATTTCACGGACGTCGACGTCATCAACACCAAGGATCAATCCATCCATGCAGTGCCACCGATGCAACGCACACCACCGCCATATCCCCCACCCCCCCGAATCACCCCTCTTCCCCCCCCCACACATACATACACACACACCCGTGGCACCACTCCACGTCACTCCACACCCCACCTCCCAATTCCTCTCACAGCCACCCGGTCCCGGTCTGCCGAGCGACATACATACATAAATACAGATCAAAGAATGCACACCTAGCTACAGCATACACACACACACACCTCCCCTCACCCCCGCAAACCCACTTCCGCAACGCTTTCCGACCACCGGGTGCCCCGATGGCAGAATTCAGCCCCAACAAGGGGAATAAGGCCCCAACAAAGTGTACGGAGGCCAACAGCGCCCCCAGGGACCGCGCTCCAGTGCTGTACACAGTTTTCACCACAGGAGGGGGCCCCCGCGGGGGGGGGGTAGGAGGGGAAAGACGAACCACGAACGCGTGAAGCTGCTGCCAAGTCCAAGGAGCAGAATTGACTGACTAGTAGGCGTTCTTGGGGAGGAGGGAGAGGGGGGGAGGGGCACTTCCGTCTCCCCTCACGATTTCGATATGGCTACAGTGTGGGGCGGACGCGAAGACGTCGTACGACACGACGGGGTACATGACTCGGTCCCACGTGGCGATACAAAGTTCATTCGTAGCGTACCGCACCCTCGCATCGCTACTATAGAATGAACAATGCCGTACAATGCCGTACACACGAAGGGGCGATGATGCGAGATGGACACTCCTCGAGGTATCCCCGGGGGCTTCCGCTGCTTGTTTGCCTCTGTGTATGTATGTATGTATGTCTAATACTACTAGCAGCAGGTCGCGGGGGCCAACTCGTCAACCGGTGACGTCATCACTTGGGCAGGATGGAGATGGTGGTGGTGTCCGCGGCTGCACCGGCTGGCGGCGCCGCCAGCGTCGCCTCCTCCGCCGGCGTCGCCGCCGCCAGCCGCACCTGCGGGTCGCTACTGCCGCCGCCGCCGCCGCCGCTACCTGCGGCAGGTGGTGCTGCCGCCGTCTGGTGTTTCTGCGGCCCCACCTGCACCCCCCCCTGCACCTGGTGCGACTCCCACCAGTCCTGACCAAGGCGCCAAATGATCGTGAAGCAAATGCCCTGCAGTACAAGCCGTACGACCAGCATCAAAAGCAGTACGAAGCAGTTGTAGCAGCTGCAACATTTTAGCACCGTTAGCACAGAACCTCCCAGCTGGCGCGCGGGTGTGTGTGGGGGGGGGGCGTTGTGTAAGAGGGAAGCCAGGACGACGAACACATAGCAGCTGCTCTTTACTTGTTGATCAGCATCAGCATTACATATTGAATCAGGGGATCAGGGGACCAGGCCGCCGCCACGGAGAGGCATTGACAGACACGCACACACCACCAACCGCTGCTCAGCTAACTACCCAACTACCCAACTACCTAAATTATAACTTCTTCCTTACCGCCTTCTTCCCACCCTCACCAGCCTCAGCCACCCGGATGCCCGGATGCCGCACCGACCCCACTGAGACAGACGGCCCTCTTTAAATCACATCACACACCCCTACACCCACACACACCCACACCTCACCTGCACTCCGTTGGCTAGGATCTTGGTCTTGAGACCCCGACCCAGCAGACCCACGACACCGTCCTTTTCAATGATCATCTATCCGGATGATGGACCGAGGGGCAGCGGGCAGAGGGGGAGAGGGAGGGGGGAGGGGGGAGGGGGGAGTGCGGCAGGTATAAAATGTATACATATACATAGTCTGTCTATCTGTCTGTCTGTCTGTCTGTGTGTACGGGAATGAGACGTCATCGGTCACATTACAGCTCAGTGGCCCCCGAGGTGCCCCCGTGTGTCTGTTCGCCGCCCATCACGTCGACACGACACCACCTTGTGCACATCGGGTCACCGACCCCGACCCCGACCCCGACACCAGGCGCCGGATGCCCTCATGAGCCATGTGTCCCCCCCCCTCTAAACGGGGGAAATGCCCAATGAAGTGTGTCAGTGAAAACTTACATACTTACCCCCCCCCCTTCCTTACTTCTGGCGTATCAGAGTCTATACCCTCCTTGCCATCAGCTTCGTTCGTTCACGTGGTTCGTCTTCCCCCCTCCCCCCCTCCCCCCCTCCCCCCAGCACCAGCCCCGCTTACCCTGGCAACCTGAGGGTAGGTGGTGGCCTCCTTGGTGGTCTGCTTGGTGGTCTTGATCACGCGGATGGAGTTGGAGGCGCAGTCGCTGACGAAGGAGGAGCAGAACCCAATCAGTGCGGAGCGACCCAGCTTGTGCAGCAGATCGTCCGAGGGAGACTTGGGAAGCGCGGCGTTAAGGTAGTTGTACTGCAAGGGTACGGAAATGCACGCAGGAGCAAATGAATACTTCTTTGGCACTCGCATCATCAATAGTGATAAAAATCACAGCCACCGTGTGCTCCCGTGTGTAACAGTTCCCTGGACAGACAGACAGACAAACAGACAGACAGACGGGCTCGCCATTCGCGTCCTCACGAATCCTCATCTCGACCCAAAACACCGCAACATAACCCTCCTCTAGTCTCCCCCAATCCCCCAACCCCCCCAACCCAACCCCCTCACCCCCAACCCCCTCACCCCCAATCCCCCAACCCCCCCAACCCCCCCAACCCAACCCCCTCACCCCCAACCCCCAATCCCTACCGTGGCGAACCATGGGTAGTGGCCGACGAAGGTGGCG